GACCTATTGTCTCTAGTCGTGCTGCATCTTATAATACACATTCAAAACAATCAATTTCGTTTCTCCATTCAAGACTGATAAAATCCGCAGAAAGTCATGTGAACAACACCGTAGGATTCACTTTCATTATTTTCGTCCTCATCATCAGGAAGAGATGACATTTTCTACGATGAATCGTATCCTACTTTGATCGCGTGGGAAAATTAAATTTATATCATACTTGCCACCGCGCAGACCGGATGTCGCCGCATGGATCTACGACCGACCTAGACTCATGGACCACTGGCTAAACTGACCGGTCCGCCTGGCACTTAAACTGGCAAACTTAATTTTTTTTAAAAAATACTCACTCACACACCCTCATTTGTATATGCGGTAATCACTTACACTTTAAAGAACCACCGGAAACTTTTCCTGGAAGTTTTTTCCCGTTCCTGGGACCCTTGACGTTCTAGAGAAACTTTCTTTCCCATATGTATGCCTGATCCTTCGGTAGCAACTGGAGAGAGGGATTATTCTGTAATCAGGGTATACTTGGCACCTATTAGCGCCCTAAAAAACTGCCTACGATCAGATAAACTTAAATAAACAGGACGATTTAACATTGAAAATTTAATTAATCATTTCTGTGGTCGAAGTTGCACACACGGGGGTACCGTCGAACTTAGCACCTGGAGGGGGGAGGGGGGCAGGAGTTTATGCTATGCCTCCGTGATAACCTATCTTTTTCGTTATCAAAAATGGAGGTCCGAGGAGCTTTTTGATTTGTATACTTTTTTCCTGGTTCAAGAGGAGGGGGTGGAAACCACCCCGAAACGTCCAAGCTTTTGACTTGTTTCTTCTTAGCCTTGGTTGTCTTTTTTCCTGTGTCTTGTTTCGTTGACTAGGAGGGTTGAGGATGCAGTATGAGTCGTTCCGAGCTTAAGGGGTAGGTCGCATTAATCTCAGAATCCATAGGGTATCCTTCAGACCCACTTGCCATGCTGCCGTACTGAGGAAGAACGCCGTATGAACATTCGAGAGTTGCCAAATTTCCCTCGATAAAACATATATTTTTGCCGAAAATCATGCACCTTTTTCCTTGAAATTTTCAGATGTTTTAGATTAAATTGCGTACAAAATTGTCCACTATTTTTGGAAAAAAATATTCAAAATTTTCCCAGTAAATTCCGTTTTTAGGGAAGGAAACTTGGCAACGCCTGAACGCTCTTACGGCGTTCTTCCTTAGCACGGCAGCATACTCTTCCTAAAAATGTACTCTCGGTCCACTTGCTTTGCAATTCTCACCCTCTCGAGTGGTCCATGGGGGAGGGGGTGAGTGTCCAGCGAGGCCCGACCAAAGAAGGGGAGAAGGAGAGATGCTCCATCCGTCGAAGGGAGCCGAATTCCGCGGCGCTTATCAAATGACGCAAGTTTGTTATAATTACATCAGAGCTGCGGGCAACCTGGATTTCGTGACCTGGTTCAGCGACCAGTTTCAAGCTGTAGTCACCTGTGCTGCGGCTGGACGCTCGGCGCCTTGCTGCCAGGTCTCCGCTAAAACATCGCATTTCACCACCGCTTCGCACGTGGACTTGAGGGGTTTTTTGCGGAAAGGCAGCGGCGGCGTGGGACTCAAGGGCCGCTCACCGGTAGGTGCTGCACCAGGCTATTGCCCGTTGCCCGTTGCCCGTTGCCGTTGCATGGTGACAAATCATAGGCGTCGCGCCCGCCGATCAATAGACCCGCGCGCCGTTGCCGTTTTTTACGTCAAATTCCGCCACTTCACCTTGTTTCTCGTGGGAATATTCAACGATTTTTCATTCATTTGGTGACGCTGTTTCAAGGTGATATCACCTCGGTTTTTTTATATTATTTTTGTATGCTTCTTTTTTCCCTCATTTTTTCTAACTGTGACAGAAAATGAAGAATTACAAAAAACTAGATTGGTTGGGAGATTTGGAGATAGGGGGGAGGGGGTGGGCAATTGCAAAGTGAAGTATATTTGATTGCATTTTGCAATTAGGAACTAAAATTTCTAGCTCATCTATAAAAACGCTAGTAATCCTATAGGGTAACTAATGCACGCACGATGTTTCTACACTGAGCTAGAAAATGTACTTAGTTCCTAATTGCAAATGCAGCTTAAGCTGGCCAGGTTAGCCTAGTGGTTAGCGCGTCTTACTCTAGGTCAATAGGTCCTGGGTCCGAATTCCGGTAGTGGTGTCAAATTTTCACGGAAGTGACGAGTGGACCTGCAGAAACAGATTTTATACTCGGCCTTAATTCCTGAAATTTTGAAAAGCCTGAAGCTTGGATGTGCCAAAAATCCCTCTGATGTCTCCGGACAATAAATCTCTATAGTAAACACATATATGTCTATAGATGGCTGTCGAGTGTAGAGTCGTATTTTGTTCGGAGGCAACACTCGCAACATGTTGTGAAAACAAGCAACAATCGCATTTTGTTCGAAGTTGTTTTGTGCTGTGGGGGCGGGCCTTATTTTCGCGCGCAAAATTTGGGAGCCCCTACAGCAACGTTGTTGTACAACAACTGCAACGAGCTCAAGCAAGTCGTTTTCATATTGTTCAAAAAAGCAACGCTATTTTCTAGCCTAAAATTGGAAGTTGCTCTCGCATTTGTTGTTTAGAATCGGGTAAAAAAAAAAAAAAACAAGAAAAAAAGGAAACATTTTGTTGTTTTGAACAAAACACGACTTAGATTCCTAACTTACGAAATAAAATTGAATAGAGGCCAAACAAAATGTATAAAAAGAAAAAAAAAAGGTTGTCCGTTTCGTTGTCTCCCGGACGAAGGAATCGTAACTCGAAGTTACAAAAGGGAAGAGGGTTATTTGAAGGTTGCAAAAAATTTTTACAAGAATATTCTAGTGATTTTTTTCTGATTTTCGCATAAGGTCAGAGGAAAAATTAGTGAAATTTTCATGTTAGAAATATCCAAGATTCTCCGGGTAAAAATGCAATTTGTGAGGGGAAATTAGGAAACATTGGAATGTAGTTACGTTCAAACGAATGTACACCTAGCGAACGACAAAGAGTGCCTTTCAAATGAATGGTCATCAAAAACGCATCTTTGTATTGTACATTCAATTTTATTCTATACAAAAAAAGAAACAAAGAAGAAAAGGAAATGTTTTGTCTCTCAGCCCCAATAATTTGTTCTTAGAGTGCCAGATGATGAAAAACGATCTTTAGCTCCTCCGTTGACGCAACACTCATTTTCCGCTTTGATTGGTTACCATCTCGTATTACGTGACTCGAGCACTTTTACCTCCATAAAAGTCCTCCTGCAACTTTCCCGAGTCACTCGGTCATCAACCGGCGGGATCACTATGCCATGCTAAGGTAAAACGCCGCATGAGCCTTCAGACGTTGCAAACTCTTCTTCAACAAATCACAAATTTTCGGGAAAATATGTGAACACTTGTCTTCCTACTTTTCAGAGAATATTGTTCGTGATTCGATCTGAAGTTTCTGAAAATATCGAGGAAAAATATTCATGACATTCCTCAAAAATAAATAATAGCTCGGAGGCGATTTCGCAGCATTCGAATATTTATACGGCGTTTTCCTTAGAGCAGTAGTGCTCGGTGAAGGTGTCGTGTGAACCGGTCACTAACGACCGCAAATGTCGGCTATAAAACTCATTTTCTGGATCGAAACAGATGAGAAAGGATTGAGAAACGTAAATGCCGAGCGCGGCGTGGGCAGGCCGTGCAAGAAGAACCATCAACACGTTCGCCCGGAGAACGGCAAGGATTGTTCGACTTGGGTTGCAGTTGCATTACTGCAACTTTGTGCAAAGCGCAGCAGCCCGCGGCTCCAGCCGGTGCCGGTCCACGGTGACGCTGTACTATGTGGGTCATTTAACTCGAGTTGCATTGTCATAGCAGTGACCTCAGCGCTTCGCGCTCCCGGCTACCGCTCAGTGGTCTTTTATACATTTTTCTTGATTTTCCCCCTTTTTTATTTTTTTATTTTTTTATTTTTTTATTTTTTTATTTTTTTATTTTTTTATTTTTTTATTTTTTTATTTTTTTATTTTTTTATTTTTTTATTTTTTTATTTTTTTTTTTTTTATTTTTTTATTTTTTCTTTTTTTTCTTTTTTTCTTTTTTCTTTTTTTATTTTTTTATATTTTTTATTTTTTCCTTGTTTTCTTTTTTCCTTTTCTTCTTTTTTCCTTTCTTCTATTTTCCTTTTTTCCTTTTTTCTATTTTCTTTTTTTCTTTTTTCCTTTTTTCGTGTATCCATTTTTTCTTTTTTCCATTCTTCTTTTTTCCTTTATTTCTTCTTTCACTTTTTTCTTTTCCCCTTTTTTCTTTCTCCCTCTCTTTCTTTATTCATTTTTATTTTTTTTCCTTTCTTCCATATTCTTTACCGTCCACGGGACAAAGGACACTACAGAGACGCTGTGACACTCCTGTGATGAGGTGATGAGGAAAAACGCCGCCGTATAAATTTTAAACGTTGTTTTCTTCCCTCTTTCAAAACGCCTTCAAATAACGATGATACCCGGCAACACACTGAGGCTAAAATAGTGGTATCGCGGAAACTTGCTCGTGTGATATGGAGCACTTCAATAGACCGATAGATCTAGCACGAATTCGAACATACTGATTCATTTTTCCACCTTAAAATTTCACGTATAGAACACGATTTGTGCAAAGGAAGTAAGTGATTTGGATTCCAAAATCAATATTTATTAACGCTTCTATTTAGAATTCGTAAATGACATTATTTATGAGAGAGATTGGATGATCAATATCTACGTTTAGGATTGACAAAAGCCATCTATCAAAAACCCAGCGAATGATTTCTGCACTTGCAGCTCATAGATGCGGTATTGTGATTTATGTCTGAGGTCTTTTTTACCGTTGCCTATTATTGCGTCAACTCTGCAGACACCAGCGTTGTTTTTCTCACGTCATCATTTCTCCATGCGATGACATCGCAAAAGCTGCCAACTGCTATTAAGTGAATGTTTTATATCTGTTCCAGCGGAGCCGGATCTATACGTGCCTTTGGATGACGAATCACTGCAGTTGGCGTTCTTGAGGTCCTGTAAATTCTACCCTCAGAACGCATTCGAAAGGGTAAGATGACTTTTTTACTTTTTATTTGTATGTTTTCGTATTCTTGAATTCTCTAACCTCGATTGAGGAAACGCATGCATTTTTATTAAAGGAATTTATGATATTATGAGATTTTAGTCATATTTTGGGCCGTCAGTACAGCATGAGCACAGCGAAAAGCACTTGGGGATGTTAGTGGAGTAAAGATTCCCGGTGGTAAATGCCTAATGAGGCAAAAGTTAAAGCAAACTCGATGTTAAAGTTTCCTTCAAGACAAGATTGCCCCCCTTAAACATTTATACTATATTTTGTAATTAGGAACAACGAATAAGGGCTCAGCTTAGAAAGTGTGTAACTGTGTACCATTAATTTCCCTTTGCTCATAAGTGTTTTTACGGATGAGCCAGTTATTATGGTTCCCATAGTTGGAAAATGTACTCTATGAGAAGACGGACAAAGACGTAGAATCAATTTTCCAAAATAAGAATCGTATCGAAAGTGAAAATTTCAGAGAAGAATAAAAAGAGGGATTGCCCAGAGTAATTTTTGTTTTCAATGCTTTTTATGTTTTAATATTCAACTCAAAGAATTATTCACGTACTCGCAGCTTATGGAATTTTACAACTTTGTCCTCGGTCTTCTGCATGTTTCTCCAATAGATAGAGGTTCTTCACTGAACCTGACGTGCTTTTTAAAGGGAAGGGTTCAGAGGCACTTGACGCGGATGAGAGGGCTAGAAAAATCTGAGATATTATACCTGACGTCATTTATGATTGAGATACGTTTTCCCCCTTTTTCAATAATTATATAAAGCATAACAAATCGTGCGAAGATGGTATAGAAGAGTCGCAAACTTAATTCTTGCACCTGCACCAAAACCAGCAGCGTTGTTAAAAGAAAATGTGTGTTTGTGTTTTGCTAACACATCGTCCACTTTTCTACCCATGCGTTAAAGTCTCCAATTGAAAGCAGTAGGTCGATTGTTGACTCATTATCAAATAGCCTTGCTCGATAAAATTCCATCAAAGCAATGCTATTTGGACTGTATTTTTCAAAAAGGAACTACCATTTCTGATCCATCCATAAAATCACCTATATTTGCTTTAAACACTAGAGGCACTTACGTCGTTTTTAATATAAATCAGAAACAGTAGTTCCCTGGTACAAATTGTGCTCAATTTATTGATCATGCTCACTCGATGACGATTCAACAGTCAAACTACATTTTGCATTGAAAAACTACTATTTTTGACTCATTTCAGAAACAACGTATGTGCCATTAATCTTCCTATGCAGATAGGTGATTTTCCAACTGAGCGGAATATAATAGTTCTTTATTGCAAAATCTTGTTCAACCTATCCAAATGTTCGTAATCAAAATTGTGTCATTCACGAACTGGCAGTTGTTTTACATTTATCGCAGACGAATTGCGCCCCCCTCCCCCATGTGGGGCTTCTAATAGCTTAAATACATTGTAAGCGAGCTCGCTGACGATTTTAAAAAAATGTGACGGTACATACTTATTAATTGCGATCGGTTTCGCAAAGACTATCGTTTGTTCTCTTAGTGTCTTGGTTAAAGATTTTTGTGTAAAATGTGTGTCAGCATACTATAGAAGCCTTGTATGGAGGGCAAAACGAATCTGTGGTAAATGAACAACAACTGCCAGAATGCTATTGAGTAACACAATTTTTATGTTTATTTTACTGGCGGCTGCAACTTAAGTTCGTAGGCAAGTTGACAAGTATATTTTTTCCTCTGTCAGACCATTCATAAACGGTGCAGTGATTATTTGGATTGCATTTTGCAATTAAGAACTGCAATTTCCGGCACATTTCAGAAACGACGTATGTACCATTAGCTTCCCTATACACCCAAGTGTTTTTACGGATGAGCTAGATTGTAGTTCCTATTTGCAAAATTTAGTCGATTTTACATATTTATCCTTACGAAAAACAAAGAAACGCTTCATTTAAGCTGTTTTTTCATCTGATTCTGATTTCTTACGTATACTTGAGTGCAGAAAAGAGAGACATGCGAGTTTATATGGACTTATTTATGCCAAAAAGAACTATGCGCATAGGGATAATTCTTTTTAGCATGAATACTTCCATATTTAAGGAGACGAACCATTCTATTCCACCGTCCTCACATTCTACTGTAATCCTGAATACATTTTCCAAGCCCCCCCTGTTTTCTATTGCACTATGCATGCTGCGGCAACGATAGAAGTATGTTGGTAGATGCTTTTCTCAAACCATAATTTTATTAACTATACCATATAACAATTATAATAACCATCATATTGTTATATTGTATTCTTTGTCATTATTTTCTACCATGATGTTGCGCCCTCTCAAGAACCAGTCATCGGGCAACCTATGCCTGAGCGTTGTGCAAAAGCAACTTGATGAGGCGTATCGGAGCGCAAACCTCAACTTTTCACCTCATTTTTATTTGCCGAGTGTTCAGTGCTCCCGTATTTCAGCTTGGGCAAGACCCACCACGCCCGCGGGTTTTTAATAAGCAGCCGACAACTCAGGATCGATTGTATCAATTAACAACATAATATTTGCTGTGGTCAACTTGCCCTGTGCTACTTTATTTTCTTCGTGAAAGGTGACTCGGCTGCATAACGTTTGCGCACACTTTTCTTACCGTTAACGTTTGCGCACGCTTTTCACGAATATCATTTGCGCACACTTTTTACCGATAACGTTTGCGCATACTGCACTATTTGGCAACGCTGCAATGATGCTACGCGTGTCACCCGAAAACCGGAGTTTGTTTTGATCCGGGCGGTCATAGTATCGCTTCATGATAACACATTTTCTTGCAATGCATTGTCTGGCAATTAGTGACCCAGTCATCGGTCGTTCGCCGTGGTCAGAACATCGCGTTTTAAAGTACTTTAGCCTGAATTTTTTATTATGTTTTAACTTATAATGGCATGTTTTAAAGTGTAATATGTTTAATTTTACTTCGGGAGTGCATTGTGCGTGAACTTGTTTGTTTGAAAAAAAATGAGTGGAAATAGTGATTTTAAACTAATGAAAAGCAACCGGGATGCCGGGTTGCTTTTCATTTGCTTTTCATTGCCTTTCACCCGCTCGTTGCACGGCGAACGACCGATGACTGGGTCACTAATTGCCAGACAATGCATTGCAAGAAAATATCTTATCATGAAGTGATACTATGACCGCCCGGATCAAAACAAACTCCGGTTTTCGGGTGACACGCGTAGCATCATTGCAGCGCTGCCAAATAGTGCAGTGTGCGCAAACGTTATCGGTAAAAAGTGTGCGCAAATGATATTCGTGAAAAGTGTGCGCAAACGTTATCGGTAAAAAAATTGTGCGCAAACGTTATGCACCGGGTGACTCAAAGAAGGAAATGTTGCAAGTCAAAATTCCAACTGCTACCCAGTGTATTGCTATAGTTGGAACTGTGGATTTGGTTAAGTTCTTGAATTGGGGGTATTTACGCTAAAATGAATTATAAGTATAGGGTTTGCGTGAAACATAGTTCCTTTTAGCATAAATACATTCGATTATTCTCACGTGCTAAGGAAAAACGCCGTGAGAACCTCCAAACGATGCTAAATTTCTTTGGCGGATCTAGGGAGGGGGTGGCATACCCCCCCCCCTTTGGGCTAAAATAAGAAAAAGGAGGAAATGGGGGGGGGGAGAAGAGAAAAAAAGTGCTCTTTAAAATTTACTGAAATGATTTCAAGACGGAAGTATATAACCAAAGTTCACCAAACCAGAGGTTACTCAACACCGCAGAAATAAATACTCAGTTCATAAAATAAAATAAAATTACGTTGAAATGGGTATTATATCCGTCAATATTCATCTTTTAATAATGCACAAATTGTATGCTAAAGTTGCTTAATTCAAATTCAATCCGGGAGGGCCTATTTTTGTAAAATAAAAAACCCGGATCCGCCCCCTTTCTATTCCCCATTCTACATCAGTAAATCCCCCCCCCCCCCCCCCCCCCCCCCCNTCACTCTGGATCCGCCCCTGCTTAGAGACATTGTAAATTTTCGAGAAAATTAATACACGGTTTCCTCCCAATTTGTCAAAGAATTTTGCTCATAATTTTTTCTAAAGTGTTTGAAGATTTCCAGGAAAAATGTCTATAACCTTCCCTTAAAAATGAATATTTTCCGAGCGGAAAATTTGGCATGTTCATACCGTGTTCGTCTTAAACATGACAGTGCTGCCAAACTCCATTACAACAAAACGAAATGCTTCCTTCGCAGCTCAAATTTGAAATGAATCCTCTCTCTCTATTGTTTCCTTTGGCTTTCAGATGAAGCAGTTGTACCGGCTCAAAACGAAGCATCCGAAATATTTTTCCAACCTTGTGCCGAGTGAGAACAAGAACGTATTTAGCAATAATCTCCTTACTGTTTACCCAAACAGAGACCAACACGGTAGACGAATCCTGCTCGCTCAACTTGGCGGTAAAGTAATTCAATTTTCATTTAAATCGTGGTATCAAATTGGCCTAGTTATTCTTGAGTGTTGTACGAAAAAAAAAAAACCCAAGGAATCATTTCATACATCGATCTTTCATTTTTGAGGTTGCACAGAGTTAAAGGGAATGACCCATTGATCGAAAATACAATAATCGATTAACAATCAGTCTAAAAGTCGAAGAGGATGAGTATCCCCTTGAACGTTGTGCAACCGGAACAGTGAGTTAAATAGTCGACGACCTTTAATTTGTCGCAGCGACGCGCTGACCATCTTCCTTTTCTATCAGGGGGTCATTCAGGTGCGCAAAAAAATGCAAGTTTGAAGTGTCACCTTCCCTATGCGACAAACAATGACGTTTGAAATTTTCATTTTTTTGACGCACCCTAAGTCTACGCTGTTAAAAACTTGGGAGTGAAATTCCGTGCGCCGGAGTCTAGGAAGCGTCCAAAAACCCTGAACGATTCGAATGCGGAGTGGAATCCCTGCTCCTCACGGAGGAGCCTGAAGTATTCCTACAGTCTTGAAAGCGCTAATATGAGTTTCACGACTGCTTTGCGTTTGGCGCAATGCGAGAAGTATTCAAACAGGTTTGTAGGCGCTAATAGGCGTGTCAAGCCGATCGCACTGTTTGGCGCAATGCGTGAAGTATTCCAACAGTCTTGCAGGCGCTGTGATGCGTTTGACGCCGACCGCATCGTGTTTGACGCGATTATTCGAACTCACTTTAGAATAATCGCGGCATCGAACAATGGGGCTCATAAGGTCTATGCTATTTTGAAGCCTTATGAGCATTCCAACGTTGCCTCGTTTCTCCCCATAAAATATTTGACCAAGAAAGGTTAGGAAAGTTCTGTGTTTTTGTTTTTTTTGCAAAATTTCACGTAGAACACGCACCGAAAAAAAAAAATATGCTGTTTTAGCATCTAGGATGTCAAAAATGTGTCTGGTGATCCCAAGATGCTGCCTTTACTGCCCTCGCAGTTGAATTTGCATTCACAGGATGTAAAATTAACTGCGAGGGCAGTATAGGCAGCATCTTGGGATCACCAGACACATTTTTGACATCCTAGATGCTAAAACAGCATATTATTTTTTTCGGTGCGATTCTTGCATCGAAAATTACTGAGGTTAACCCTTAACTAAGGTATTAACGTTTTCATTTTACATTGGTCACGGAAAATTTGAATATACAATACTCTACGTGCAGTCATATCGCGCATCACAAGAATTTGGGCGGGATTTTTAACCGAGCGGTGTTCCTCTCTCGTCCTGTGTTGCTCAAAGCGTTAAAAAGTGCAAAAGTTAAACCGAAGCACCAAAATCGAGATTGCAATCTTTTCATACCTTAGAGACTGATATGGTACCGTTCAGTGCGCTATTTGCCTCGCGTGGACCATTGTGACAGAGTAGAATCTACTATTTTTGCGGGGTGTCATACGCTGTTATGATGCTAATTTCACTTCGCACTCATATGAATTAGGCGGGGTTCTTGGGCGCTACCTATAGACTCCGGGACAGAATTTCACTCCTCGAATTTTGACAGTGTATCCCCTCCTTTCCGAATTCCAATTCAAAAGATTTTTTTGAGATTGTGAGTTCATCTCCGAGAAAACTAGTGGCACCATTCTGTTTCTCAAGTAATTTCACACAACGGGAACAACTGAAATCGCAAATCCCTGCGGCTCCATGGAGCTCGGGATTTTATGGCTCGTTCGAGTACCACAAATCACCATCCATCGTATCAATCATTGCTTCCAAAGAAACCAGTGCACTGCGGCTAACACCTCCTCAGTGCTAATTACCCGTCATTGCGCAGGATCTTGCCAGCCCTCGCCGCGCCACGGGCAGCCAATGCGGGCGCACAATCAATCTCGACTAGTCAAATAGAGTCAGCTGTTCCCTGGGGACGGGGCAAGTCCCTTCTGTCATTCCTCGTGTAAGCTCGGTGAAGAAACGTGGAGGGGCACAGTGGGTTTTAACTAAATCGGGGGGGGGGGGGGGGAAGGAATTTTAAACGTCGGTCATGACAGGAGGCCCGCGCTCAAATTGGCGAAAAGTACATAACGCGAAAGATTGCCGCCTTGCCTTGCACAAGTCGCGCCGCTGGAGCTCGTTGCCATGTTGCCAGGACGACGCAATTTTGCCGATGATCACGGGAACGAAATTTTTGATCGCAAGGATAGAACTTCAGTTTTAATGGATTACTCAATTTTCGGCCGACGTAACCGAATTCTTCAGTTCAAGAGCCGAATTTCAGTCTCGATAACCGAGATGCTTGGTAAAGAATACAAGTTAAAAAGTATGACTGAGTTTAACTTCTGTTATCTGAACGGAGCTGGGTTTGGTTCCAATGACATGTGAACCCCAAATGCCTGCACTAAAAAGTATAGCTTTCCGTGTGAACAGAAATTTTGTCTCCTTTTACACTTTTAAAAATGTTTGAATGAAGTACTGTAGCGGAGCAGTACTGTGGCGCCCAAAAGCCCCAAGTGATTTTGGTGCGTAGCGGAATCTATTCCCCTCATAGAGTGATTCACTCTATTACGGGGTGGAATCAAGTCTTTTTGCGGAGTATTATACGCTTTAATGGTGTCGATTTTACTTCGCATTCATATCTTTCGGAGTCTTTGGGGTGCTATGTGTATCGACTTTTCATTCCTTGATTGTTCAAAGGTCCCATTCTCTTTGGGCAGTCACATAAAATTACTATTCCAATATAAAGTTTCGCAAGACAAACAACTGCCGTGATGGTGACTCTGGATTTCTGCGGACTCATCTCCCAATCTCCAAAAAAGGCTTATAAAATTGAGATTGTGAAGGTAGATTAGAGGAGTTAACGAGAGAGACTGTCTATTCATAGAGTAAAACTCTTCGTAGGAAGATAGGGATAAAAGCAGCAGCAGCACAACTGCCACGAATTTCGGAATTCTTTTCTTTCCATTTATTAATAAACTTTATTAAATATTCATATCCTTATCGCAAAGGATACTTCTATTTTTATTTAATTACGTCCATGTATACTCACCCCTCCGACGTAAGGGTGTATCTCGATTTCCACGTGAGCCTCGTTGTACATAAAACTCCATGCTATTTGGGGCTCATGTGGAAATAGAGATATGCCTTTACGTCAGAGGAGCCACGAATGCGACCGTTAATGAGTAGATAAACATTATTACCTAAAAGCTTAAAAACCTGAACGGGTAACATTGCATGGAAGAATGTTCTATCTACAAAGACACCCGAAAAGTCATATTAAACAGGCGAGTGAATAGAGTTGAAATTTGCAGTTCACAGAAGTTTGGAGCAAAGTGTAATTGAATTTTTAACTAGTCATGTTTGAGCTCGAGTTTATAGACTACAAATACACTGCACGTCTGTACCATTTTTTGGTGTAAAAAACAAATTGAATTCCTCTTTTATTCTTTCTCACGCTGGTGGTTGTTTTCGGTCGAGAACTTCAAAACCGAATTTTTGACCCAACTTTAAAAAGAGCTCTCCAGAAAATTTGCTCCCGCTGACCGAAATCTGCTGTCCATCAATCGTCCTATGTTTTGACTACTTAATGATCCTGCTTGCATAAACTGTTCAGTTTGACAATTCAAAATTCACGTTAAGTTTCGATGAAATTATTGATATTTTTGCACGTGAGTAAACGTATCATCATGGTGTGCAATCAATTAGTGGTTGGTGCTCTGCCAGTTTGACAACAGAGCGAATAACTTATGAATGAAGTAGTTTGCCAGAAGGAGGGGGCGGGGGCTACTATTTGCGAAACGTTACGGGGCTCAGAAATAGGCCGATTAAAAACAAAAGAATCCTCCCCCCGCCCCCCTCTGTGCATGCATTAACGTAACAGTGATCTATCACTTGATATCTCCATAGAGACCTCTAATCACGTGTGTTCATGGCTTTATTAGTTGATCGATTTACTCGTAAATTCTCTAAAGTAGCTTGCATTATGCTCGCTGTGTTTCAACCTGTATATAGTTCCTGGTCAGTGATGTCACAGCGAAGAGAGAATACAGGTACAATAATTAGAAAAGTTAGCATCCACTATGATCCTTTAAGTTAAATTAAAACTAGCGTAATGGTGGCACTCTTCTGAAATATCTCTTTTTTATGAAATTGCATATTACAGAATTTCATTAAAACTTATGTTACATGCTTTGAAGGACCGAATTCCTTCTGAAAAAGATCTCTTTGGGTTACAAATCATTGAGCAAAATAAAGATGACTTTAATGCATCCATTGGTAAATCATTTGCGAAAATCAAATTTTAATGAACGCTCTATATTTGTATTATTAAAATTTTACCATGCACGGCGCAACATTTTATCTTGCTCTTATGCCCTTGCTTGGAGCAATATCTCATTAGCAACTTACTGCACTCATTGATCCGGGAGCTAAAAGCCCAAGAGTGCCTTCATTTTTAGGGTATACAATACGCACATCCTTCAAGCACAGATAATTGCATTCAGGCTTTACGATTTTTGAAACGTGACGATGATCAACTTTAACTACAGATACTGCTCAAGTTCTATTAAATGTTTCAGCTGTAGTCTATAAAATGCAATTGAATGATACCTTTTTCCGCCGCAACCACTTGAGTATGTAAATCGCCAACAAAAATGTTCCCGACGGGGGCAAAATCCGACGAGAGACTTAAACGCGGCGATAGAAAAGTCAACTGAAACTAAACAGCCCTCAGTGGAGAGGATTGAGGTTGTTGTCCCGCTGACTGAGGTTAGCGATTTGCTCTAATTTCTTTGTTTTAATGTTTCAATTCATATCATAACTCAGGGAAATGGAAACCAAAGGACGTTTCGTTGGTCGAGATAATGCGTGGGATCATGATCATTATAGAGGCAGCCATCTTGGAACCGAGGACGCAGATTTCTGGTGCTAGTTTGATGGTGGACGTCGAAGGGCTCACACTTCAACATATCTGGCAGTTCACGCCTGGATTCGCCAAAATGGCGCTTGACTGGGTCCAGGTAATCATTTCAGGAAATCTTCTATCGCCGAACGGAGAATTTGCACACAAAAATTGTGTTGATTCATCTGAGAGTGCTTAATGAGCTAAGTTCGCAGTATGTTTCATATTTTTTTCTGATATGGGAAAAATAGATTTAAAAGTGATCGCCGCCTCATGACGTCATTTGGCGGCATTTTCCGTTTGAACACATATACTTTAGCAGATTAGGTTATTTTGTCATATTTCCTCTAATAAAAGTCCAATTTAGAAACCAAGGATATCCTCGTACTCAGTTCAATTTCCTAGCAGTATCATTTTAAAGATGAAATTTACAAAATGTCTGACATCTGCAAATTCTCTATGTAGACAACAAAAATGCAATTTTGAGTATACGCTACGAGCAAACGCCAATGTAAGGCAAATCGCACGACTTGTCCATCGTGTTTTGGACAATACCGTCAACTCAAAAAATACGAAGCTTTCGACTGCAAATACGCCTAACAAGAGACGCAGCTCTGAAAAACAAGTATACAACTGAGATTCTAATAAAGAGGGATATAAGCTGAATACTCTGAGTATCAGTGATGCAAATCATCAAATCCATAGAGAAGATAAATTTGAATTGTCAGGGGGGTTTTAAAAATCGATTATTATTAGTTTTCTAAAAAATAAAGTGGTCCCCGCATAATAAATGCACTTCGGTTTAAATCAATCTGATGGTAGTGTATTCTCAATGGTGTGATTTGTTCAACGATAATTTTTGAAAACAGTTTGAAAATTAACATAATTCGCGAAGAAATTTTACAGAGTCAAATTCACCTTGGAACTGAGTAAATTTGAAAGTACATTTCTTTATAACTTAAATTAATTGATAGCGAGAAGAATAACGGTGTCTTAATAAAACAGGAACTTTGAAGAAACCATCGAAGAATAGTCACTTTATTTCCTGGTTGTTCTAAACTTTAATATGCACGAACTAAAATTTCATAACTGAAAAAAATCGATTTGAATTATTTTTTGGTTTTATGCTTTGAATTATCCTTTGACCGGCGATTGATTTTCAACCATACAATCCTATATAATAATGCTTACATAATACTTATAATACAATAAAACTTTCTTTTAGGACTGTCTGCCTGCCCGGATAAAGGCGATTCACATTGTCAATCAACCATATATTTTCAATATGCTCTTCTCTGTATTCAAACCTTTCATCGGAGAAAAGCTGCGGAATAGGGTAAGTAAGAAGCGGTCAGGTATCTCATCGGTTTCCTTTAAGTACTGAGTACGTGCGTCACCATCTGGTTATGTTGTGCGGATACGTTACAGATGAATAAAAGGATTGATTCAAAATTAACGTATAATACGATGAATTGAAAGATATTAGCAAATTCAACTTAAAAGTCAGTAAACGTTTATCTCTGTGTTCATCAATTCAAAACATGCTGGACCGCCAAACTAATTTTAGTGTTTTTCACGATGGAGTATTCTGTGTAAGCTGTTTTTTATGCATAACTATTCAAATATGGAAGGTATTTCAAGTAAGACGGACATTTTGCAAAATCCAGCATTATTTATTTTGTCAACCCTCTGACGTGAGGACGCATCTTTATTTCATAGTAAGTCCCGAAAATCACGAAGTTAAAATGATTAAAAGGCTCTAGTGGAAATTGAGATACGCCTTTATGTCAGAGGAGTGATAACTTTTTGAACGATATATTGATTCCGAATGGTAAATACGGTGAGCATGTTGGTTTAACTAAGTTTCACTAAAACTTACTCCCACTTTAACAAAACCTCTTGAAAATGAGGTTGTAATGGAAGGGCATCTCGGCACCACAGAGTCTGCCTTCTTACTCAGCAAGCTTTAAGATTGGGCATACTGAACTAGCAGATTTTCTATGCTGAAGATTTAAAAATTACTATCCTACCTTTTTAGCTCCCACACAGAGTGGTAGGGTTATAGGACATTTTGACAACGATTTTTTGTCCACGCAACTGTTTTTTTCTAGTAGTATACGTCCACACGTTTTTTCGGCAGGGAAGTTTTGGTCCACTTACCAATTGAGACCCAAAGTTAATAAGTCCACATGTGAATACATGAAAGTCCTAGTATCTGTCTTCAAGAACGTTTAGCATGATTTTTGAACTTCATGAGAGGAAAAAGTGACTTGATTCAAGCAGATCTAAGCTCGAATTTACCGCCGAGAGAATTTCCTCATGAATGAATAAAGAAAATAATGTTTGTTTAAGAAAAGATTCTTACATAAAAATAAAAGTCACTCACATCAAACAGAAGCCCGCTTTCATTCAGCTACTTTCGTATTGATTTAAAATAAATTCTTCTTGACTGCATACTCAAGGAGGTTTCTGCCTAAATCGAATCACTTCTTTTCTCTAATGACATTCAATAATTATGCTAAACGTCATTAAATACGGTTGCTATCACTCACTGAATTTTTGGACTACAGCTCTCTTTTTGTGCCGGAGTATCTTGATTTATTTTGCGAGGGAAACTCCGTACTCTTAAAGGATGCCTGTCATCCTTAATTTGTTGGAGCGCCTTCAATTTCGTATGATACTGTGCAACACCTCTGTTGTGAATTAGTTGCTTAAGGCGCCGTGGCACGCTGCGGCTCGACGCGGCGGGAGGGCGGTCAACGCGCACCGTGCATTGGCGCCTACAAACCTAAGTGGATACTTCAAGCATTGCGCAATGCGTGAAGTATCCACTTAGGTTTGTAGGCAGCTTCGCTCTGTGTTCGGCTCTAATATTTAAACTCGCGGAGTCAGCATTTTTCAACTCGTGATTTTGAAATGTATGCTCACTCTGCGTGGAATATTCTCATTTAAATCGATGGAAAAAATATGTAAAGGAAAATATAATGTGTGTTTCGTAAATATTCAGGTGGTTCCGTGTCAAATGACTTACAAAGCACTTCAATTTTTTCCTTTATATTCTGTGCTTTTACTGTGCTGCAGCGTAGTGCACTCGTAACCAAACGCTTAATATTGGACGCATTTTACTCTAAAAGGACGATTTAAAAATACCAATGATTGATCCTGGTTTTTTTTTTCCTCTTTTATTCATTTTTGTACAGTTTCTTTTAACGCCACTGCGGCTAAATGATATTAATATCGATCCCATCTCTTAGAAAGTGCTTGCCACGTTTTAAAAATGAAAATGTTTTTAAAATGAAGTAATATTTTCATTGAAAAAAGGTGTATGTAAGGTATACTTCAAATCAAAAATATTAAGGATAGAAATAAAACCAAAGTTTTCACCAATGACAATTTGAAAAGATGAATAGAGAATTTAAAAGGAGAAAGTAACACTTCATTTAAAAAATTAGTCACCATAACAACACCTCCTTCTCTCTCAATTTTCTCATTTCGATAGTCTCAATAATATGATTTTACATACGGACTAAAATATAATGCTTGGACCAAGTCACAGTTGCTCATTTTACGCGTAGACGTAAACTACTGAACAAAACAGGTGCGCGGACAAAAAATCGTTGACGAAATGTCCTGGAGCCAGTGGTAGCCCTGCTAATGTATTAATTCAACCCTATCTCTACACTAGGAGTTTGATTGTGAGAATGGAGATTTACTCCTCTGAAGGGCAGTGGTGCAAGCCTCAACTTTAAGAACTTTTTTATATTTTAAAATCTCGCTGTGGTCACATAATTGGTCCTAGGCGGAATGGTTTAAGATTTTCCGGGGGCATGTCTCGCCGAAAAGAGATTGTTGACCATTCCTGGATTATGGGTGGAGGAGAGGTTCAAAAGATGTCGTTAGAGGAAGAATTGCCTGATGAGGCTCCTAAATTCTGCCAGAAAGCTTTACATTTGACCTAAGTTCAGGGGGTTAGCCCCTATCCCCCTGGGCCAGTTCACCCTTGAAACTGGTAAACCATCTTGTTACCTACTTACACAATTTTATAGATATAGAAGATTAAATCGGAAATTCTAGCCGAAGGCATGGCCTTTATTGATCATTTTCGTGACTAATCAGCAAATGAAGAGTGTTTAGGATACCTAAACGATAAATGACAATTTTTTTCATATTTTCGCTTTCAGATTCACTTTCACGGCTCTGACCGAAGTTCAATCCTGTCTCACGTGGATGCGAAGTGCTTGCCGGTCCAATACGGCGGATTATGTGATATAGATTTAGATAAAGGTCTCGAACTATGGGCACTCCTCAGCAAATATGAATGGCTCTACCAACGTGAGTTGATTAAAAGTTACTTCACTTAAACCGGTGATTTGAATCTTACGACGGCTATATCAAGGAGGTGGAGACCGTGGGTCGTTGCCTCATATCAGGCTGATCAGAGGCGTTTTTCTTTGATAGCTTTAACTGCGGATCTCTTTTTTATCAGTACAGAAATTATTTGAGCTCTATAAAGCTCAAATAATCAATGCTTTGAGCTGGATCTGCCAAGAGCCCTATCAGCTGTTCTCGTCGGAAAATTGATTGAAATACAATTTCAGAAATGACTGAACTCTCTTGCGCGTATTTCAATAAATTCTTCACATTTTCTGACGGTACCTCCAGGCTGATTATTGAAATTTATAGATGAAGCTACAGACAAAGAGATGATGGAGTGACCGTATTGGTTGGAACGGGTGGCTGTTATAGACTAAGGGGGAAAACGATGGACTAATTATGGGGTCGCTCGAGGGTTGTCGATCGTTAGTCTATTACTTACCTCCCTTTGTCTATTGGAGCCACCCGCTCCCACCGATAGCATCCCTTCCATTTCCTCTTTGTCAATAGCTAATTGCCTATCGATTTCAATAATCAGCCCGGAGGCCCTAATTCATTTCGGTTCCACCCATGGGTAGATCCACCCGAAGAACCGAGAAGCTCTCGCGGTAACCTATCAATGGAAGGCTCAGCGATTGCGTCATCGATCGGCGGCGGTCCATCGGGACCCGCTTCGCATGGGCAAAGGGCCCGCGACTAAGACGAGGGGGGTCCGGGGGGGGGGCATAGCGGTCAGCGTCGGGCCCACGGCCAGCTGGATACTGCGGCGCGCGGCGTCCTTGGCCGATGCGGCGCTAGGGCACCTGGTCGACCCCGCTGACGAAATAACCCGCGCACGCCCGTCTTGCAGCGTCGCGTCGCGTCGCGTCGCGTCGCGCCGTGGTGGCACGCAGCTTCACTCCGGACCCAACTCCAAGACTCCCATGCTGAGCAAGAAGGACGTATGAACCTCCGGGCCTTGCCAACTCTCCTTCCACAAATCATCAATTTTCTGGAATAATCATGTATATTTGGACGTATTTATGCGAAAAGGAGATATGTGCAAGTGGAAAGATGGGGTGTGCTCGTTAGTTGGGCCATAAGAAACAATGTAAAAGTGGATATAGCTCCTTTTGAGAAAATTGAAAAGCGGGATTTGACATTAAATCAAAAGGAGCTAAGCGCCAAAATATGCTAACTCATGAGCCGCGGGCATGGCAAGAGAGCGTTGTGGACAGGGCTCATGAGTTAAAGACACGGATCCGCGGCTCGGAGTCTCCATCGTCGCCGCTGACGTCACTGGCGCTTTATATTCCCCATTCATTCTTATGGCCCGACCACTAACGAGCACACCCCATCTTTCCACTTCCACATATCTCCTTTTCGCATAAATACGTCCATTTTTCATTCGATTTCTCATTGGATTTTGTTTGTAATTTGGACGAATTTCTGTCAAAGGGAAATACGCGCCATAGGGGGAGGAAGGGAGAGGGGGGATTGGATTGGCGGGTGTTGCGGAGAGCGATGCTCGTTCCGTCCTATACTAGCAATGCTTTTCCATGGCGCTTACTTCCGTTTGATAGAACGCGCTATGCGGGATTCGATAATCCTCAAATGGAACACAATTTGCAGGCGCTTAGTTCCGTTTAACAGAAATATGTCCATTTGATCTGAAGTGTCTGAAAATTTGAAGAAAAATATTCATACCGTTTTGCAGAAATAAATATTTTTGAGAGACAATTTGCAACATTCGAATGCTCACGCGGAGTCTCTCTTCAGTAGACAGGAGAGCCGTATTAATAGTCGATTCCTCAATTATCTCCTTTCCTTAGGAAGCCCTGGATGGTTAACACTTTGATTTATGAGGGATTTAGCGAGTCTTTAACACCAGAGGATTTGCCAAAGAAGTACAAAAGATAAGAAAAAAAAAATGCTTTTTTACAAACTTCATGGTAGGCACAAACCTACCTCAAATTTCACAAAACTCGAATATTATTTTCTCTTATAATGTGTCTCCTTATTGGGGTGAATCATTCAATTCCTTGTAAGAATATTTTTCCAGATACGATACTGAATTTGTCTATTACTTTCCGTAGGAGATCAATTGTGGTCGAGACTGTGATTAAGGGAGGTTGGAGGAAGCCTTGAACACAGCACCATAAAACAGACAATTTTTGCAAACCTTGAGTAGAAATAATAAAATTCATTATTGTAACGGTAGAATGAATCGTTACAAGGAATTGAATAATGATTTCCCTCTACAAAAATACATGCTACAAAAAAAGATAATATGCGCCAGTTTTGTTGAATTTAAGGTAGGTTCGTGCCTACCTTAAAGTTTTCGAAATCGTAGAAGTTTTTCTTTTGTATTTTTACTTTTTGCGGTGGCAAATCGTTGTGATCCCCTGGAAATATCTATCTCCAGAGTTATGATCCGAGATTTCACTCGAGATTTGCAGAAATTGTGTATATGATGTGATGTTCACAGTGGCGTGGCGTGCTTTGCGATAAATCGATAGATCTTTCATTCAAACCTATAGATAAGAATCGATGACCGGGGTGTCCGCAGCAAACACCTTAATAATCGATTCTTTACCGTAGTTTCAAATAGAGAAATATCGATAATCGATAATTCACGCCACGCCTTTGATGTTTAAAGCTTCGGTATCCTCCATTAAACACAGTGTCAACCACATGGAGTCTTCTACGGACGGGAGCCCTTAACAACCGACTACAGATACGGCTTCGAGTACAGCTATTGAACTCTCGCTGACGGACCCTGCAACTCTTGCGGGGTGGGGTGTTGCCCAGTAAGAACTTACAAAATTGAAACATTTAAATTTTCATCCTCTCAAAAGACTAGAGGATGATGGGGGGCATTGAGGTCCCTATCGGACTTATAAAGTAGGAAAAAGCACGTGGTATTATCGCCGTACGCGTCCAGTTGGACGTATTTCTGCCAAACGGAACTATGCGCATTATGACGTGAGCCCTGTTATGCAAACATTCTAATGGGTCTCAGGGCTCGTGGCTTACTGCACATAGTTCCGTTGGGCAGAAATACGTAAATTTCCAAAAACATCTTTGAATATTCCTTTAACATTTTTCATCGAGCCGAGTTTTTTTTAGTTAAACGTTTGGCAAGATTTTGAAAATCCGTCGAAGCCTCTAAATGTTGACAAAATGTGAAAAATTTCTATAATGTTTGTTTTCAAATTGTTTTGTTTTTAAATTTTCTCGGTTCAATTCATCAAAATGAGTCACGCTTTAGACTGCACCGGCTGCAATAAAAGGACCTTGAATTACGGAGAAAATGAAGCGTCCTATTTCGACTTAATGGGGGGCAATCAAGTTTACTGCCAATTATTCGCATCACAGATTAAATCATTTGCTCCTATTTTAAAACATAAGGGCTTAATGTAACGATTCGTATCGCAGAGGTTGAGTCTCCTTCAATTCTAGCAAGATTTTCAAGGAAACTGATCTTTATCATAAATTGGATGAGTTCAAATTACCTCGGCGTGACGGTGGAAAAAAAGCCAGATCAGATATGGTCACACGATCCGCAACCCTCGAGAGCTTCGAGCGGCCGGCATTTCAAAGTCGGAAATGTTGAAACAAAACATTTTCAGACTCATCAGAATCGAAAACAAGAGGTGACTTTGAATGGATAGGGATTGTTGCCGACATTTGAATATCACCGCCAGCTGAATTCGGTACCGACTTTTCCATGTTAGAAGTTAATGTCAAGAAGGAATATTTTTTACAAAATTGGTTTTTAAACTTACTGAATACGTTTGCTCATGCAGTTGAATGAAGTATCCCCGACATCATAATGCAAATGTAATAATATTTTCAGTTACTTTTAACTACATCTAGAAATGGGGTCCACGGTCTCTATACTCGTGTTGTACTAAGTACACAATAAAACGAAGTAACCAAAATGTTAGGTTGATATAGGAAGTAAGACACAAAGTAATACAAGCTGTTAGTTAATTTTTGTAAGTGTTATTGTTCCCTGTGTCAAATCGAGCAAATTTTTGTGTCGATAATCTGTGACCTCGTTAAAAATTAGGCTTCGGCCATCAAAATTAGCAACAGTGATAATGCAGTGCGCTAGCCATTCGTAAGTCGCAATGTCTGAATTTGGGGCGGAAGACAAGAGAACATCAGTTCCGCAGGCCACTTTTTTCATGCCCCAATGTCTCATAGTAACCTACGGTTCAGATCGATTTAACACAAAGTTGTGTTGAGCAACCAACTCCTTTGTATTGATCTGACACAAGAAAAAAGTAACACAAAAACACAGATTAACACTACACACGGACATTTTTAAGTGTGTAGGAAGACTCTATTACTCTCTCCTTGATTATGATCAATTTGTAAATCCTCGTGGTAAAGAAAGACCTGAAAAGAGTCCTGAAGACATGTAAAGACCTGTAGTGGCCTAATTTAGCGGGAAAAAAATAATTTTTTACACGACTGAGGTTTGGTTTGTTGATCTCTTAAACGGCTAAACCAGCCATGAAGAAGAAGTAAGATTATAAACGCACATTGAGTTAGCTCTATATTATCGTAAGTCGATTATGGCTGAAGCTTGTGACGACGAGTCAAAGTAATAAAGTACTTTGAGACCCTATATTTTTACCTTCAGTAGGAACAGAGATTATCAGTTTGTTCTCTTTTCTGTGCATAAAAGTAATATAATTGTTTTAAATTTCATTTGTTGCAGAAACGACTAGCTATGGATACAAACCTCGAGACAAGAAAGGCAAAGCAAATAGTACCAACAACAACATTACTGCGGAGAGTCCAGTGATTAAAACGAACTAAGTAATCACCATAACCTGTCACTGTTACCAAAAGATTTTCTAAATTTTAAGAATGATTTTTCCTTAAAAGACTGCAACGGTTTCGATCAAACTATTTGAAACAATTTTCAAGGAAGTAAAATGGTGAAGATGCATAGTGAGTGCAGCCTCATTTTTGGGGGCGCTATTTTCAGACATATTTTTGTCACTTACGTAAATAAATCTCAATAATATGTACCTGTGCCCCATAGCATGAAGGTAATAGAGCAGGACCTAGTCCCGTTTCAGCCACTCTAAGATATCAAAGAAAAAACACGCACATTTTTTATAAATTAGTTCATACATTTTTTACTACTACTACTACCATTCTGAGCATCAGTTCGCATTCAAAGGCTTGAATACAGTGTTTGCTTTTTTTATGGTTTTGCGTACCTAAGGGTTTGTAATTTATTTTGAATATTTTTCAACTGAGCATGACATGATCAGAGGCGAATTTCGTGGTTTTTTGGAACACACAATAAAAAATTTCGAGTAGAAAAAAATGAGATTTTAAAGTATTATTGACTGACGATGAGGGCGATGTCAAATCTACAAATATGATGAATAGTTTCAAAATAAGTAAATCCTTTGATTTATTGCTAGCCTCCTTTCAATTTAGTATTTCATATCCTTTAAAAAAATTTCAAAAACACCTTGATGCCTAAAATGTGAAAACCTTCATTTTCCAGAATCATCGGGTGCAGGTGAGTGAAAATACGTGACCAGTCCATATAATTAGGTAACATTCGTGCGAAAACCCTCTAAAATAGGAAATTGAAGTTTAAATTCACTTAGAAAAATCAAAATGGCAAAGTTAATTCACCATTTTTGCACCAAAGAATATTTTATGTGACCACTTTTGGAACTTTAAGTACCTTTTCTGCAACGACCTATACGTAGAACACGTAAATGATATGATAAAAATAATGAATTTTAAAATTATTGGCTTTCATCGGAAATACAATTTGGATGAGCTTAAATAAATCAATCAATGTAGGAGTTTTATTAACCTCGACCTCGACGTGGGGCAAATAGACCATTGTGAAAAAGAAAAATTGAACAGATATTTTTGAAATATTACATGTTCCACCCCTTGCGCGTGGACCCTTCCTTGTCTTAATTTGAAGGCATCCTTTACAAAATGCACAATGTGCGATTATTTTTAGTAGATAATACGGTAAAGCTGTCAAATACCTACCTATCACCTGTCTTCTTATGAATAAGTACCTGATAAATATTTTAAGACCTACACATTTTAGAATAAGAACCTACGTACGCAATGTAATTAAATACATTTGAAGAAAATTACTCGAAGTTTATTTACTTTTTGCAAAAATTTATGAAATCAAATTCCCACCCTTGAAACAAATCCATACATACTTAACTAGATGGATTCAATTGAAATCAGTCTATATGTCACCTAAATTCCTTCTATGTTTTATTCTTTGAAATTTAAAGAAAAGTAACGTTCTACCTCGAGCTTTTCTCATGATAGAATCAACAATCTAGGAAAGTTCCCAGGGGTGGTTTCACGATAACTGGAATAGTTTTGTTGCCGTTACGGACAACACATTTTTCAGTCATGTTTTCAGTAGTAATGATAATCACACGAATTTTCTTAGTGTAATCTACACAGGCTTACGTGTTATAACGCTTTTCAACGATTTATCGCTCTACTTTTCAATTTCAATTTAAAAATGGCCAAAAATGTGCTGTCTGTTACGTTACGCTGAATTTTTACCGTGTAACAGACAGCACGTTTTCGGAATTTACATAATATTAATTGAGATTTAGAGGAATAAATCATTAGAAAAAGTTATAACACGTAACCCTTTGAAGATGAATGCGAAAAATTCTAGTGATTATCATCACAACTAAAAATATGACCGAAAAATGTGTTGTCCGTTACGGCGACAAAACTATTCCAGTTATCGTGAAACCATCCCCAGAAACTTTAGTTCAATAGCCTGCTCATTTTTAGACAAAAAGTTCAACATCAGAGAATGTTATGTGACCTGAAACACTATACGTGTTCCGCTAAGATTTGATTTAAAATATTTGGTTTAGAAAGTATACCAAAGTACTACGGGATTACTTCCAACTATGAACATGAATTTACGAGTCAAAAGCAATGCGATTGGTGAACGGTGAGCAAAATAATATAGATGGAAAAATCCCTCAAAAATAGCTGGAATCTCTCGTGGAGCATTCCTTCTCGCAGTTTGGTAAGATACAGTCCTCCAAAATATCTTCACAAAGAGTTACTTAACATTTTAAAACACTTTTCTGAGGAAAGAAGAAAATTCAACATTATGAGTCACAATCCGTTGAGCCCCTTGGTGCCTTGGTATTTAAGTGCTGACTCGCCTAAGTGCAATTATTTTTTCCAACCAAACTCATAGCTAAGGATCTACACAGATTATTTTCCTGAGTGAGAAGAAAAATCAAAGAAGTTATCATACAATTATGTTGAATAGTTTTCCAAGGAAAAATAAAGTATGATAGGCAGTCTGCAACGTCATAAATTGAGCTACGTGATTTTGCACTTCGGCTATCGAACAACTGATAGCTCGTATCACTGCTATTTTTTTTTTTTTAATTTTTGGCGAGGTCCATGTGGGTGGACTTGAATGACATCTTTGACTTATATATATTTTGTGTTTGTCATTACCAAAGTTGCCAATATGAACTAGGCAAAACGATTATCCGGATATCGGAACTTGGCTGTTTTCAAAACGCCTTCAACTGCGGCGTGATACCTCACGCATTCCGGAGAGTTCGAATAGTTGTATCATTGCGCCTTAAGAATGCGACGGAAGATTAAAATGGGAATAGCCTCCATGCACGCTGGCCTTGTCGATTTCTGTTGACATTTTTGCAGTGGTGAATACATAGCTAAAGTGCGCTCCAGCTAGAATCGTGTGTAGCGAATGGGTGGTTTTTATACGAGGATTAAAAATAAACGAGTGGTACGGAATAAAACAAAATAATATGAACAATGCAAAACAATCATCCGGATATCGGAACTTGGCTGTTTTCAAAACGCCCTCAACTGCGGCGTGATACCTCACGCATTCCGGAGAGTTCGAATAGTTGTATCATTGCGCCTTAAGAATGCGACGGAAGATTAAAATGGGAATAGCCTCCATGCACGCTGGCCTTGTCGATTTCTGTTGACATTTTTGCAGTGGTGAATGCATAGCTAAAGTGCGCTCCAGCTAGAATCGTAAGTAGCGAATGGGTTGTTTTTATAGGAGGATTGAAAATAAACAAATGGCAGGTAACAACGGTGGTAATTTGTATAATGGGTTTTGTCACATCCCTCTCCATCCCATTTCGATGGCTGAGAGCTAAAACAATGTGTGTTTTCGTTTAAGAGTTTCGAAATCTCCGATCGGCGTTTCCTTTAAAGAAGTAACGAAAACATTTCGTTGACATTTTTTGTGGATATTTTTGATTAAATTAAATAGTTCGATGACATTTTAAAGAAAAAACTATTGATTAGTTTGTTCACACAAGCGGAGACACACACATTTTTTGAATTTTGCTATTAATATAGTTCGGTGTCACTCTCATCCTCTCGTTTTTTCTCCTTTTGCATCAACCCACTCTCTTTCATTTTTATTTTAACGTAATGTGCATCTAAAAAAAGGTCGGTGTATCCAAGCTGAACGTGTGCTAAATTACATGGGCAGAGAAACTACGGGACGAAAACGATAGCAAAGTACATTTGATATCAAGGGGAAAGGAAAATATGTCGGAAAATAATGAGGAAATTGTGGAAATACATACCTGCACAGGCCTCATTAAGACATCGCACGGGCGCAATTTTCAAATTCTACTGGAAAGTTCAAGGAAGAGAAAGGAACTTCGCATAATCGTGATTGACTTTTCTACAGGAATAGACGCCCCTTTACACGAATCCTGGTACTCCTGGCTGCAAGGACAAGGTCATCTCCTTTCAACGATTTGTAACGATAGTGAAAATTGAAGGGGAGGGGGGCATCTCAATTGCGACGATTCAAGACTTCCAGTTTTTCCTGTGCATTTGAAGAAAAACAGAGTTGAGGTTTTGCATTCCAGGGGGTTCGCAATTTTAGAGCTTGTCCCATGTAAACTTTCGCGTGGGAAACGATGCTGCCACTGCTTTAATTTCTCTGAAAAAAAACCCTGAAGCTCCTAATGGACCCAAAGAGCGTAGTTGTTTAAAATTCTACAATATTGTCTGGTTTTGAAATAGTGAATATCCGGAAAAATTCCAACAAACTTCCCTCATCACTTACTTAGGCTTCTCTCATTGAAACAGTCTGAAATATTCCCAACGGATCCTAGATTGTATCCCTAGATTAGCTACCCAATGATTTAGATAGTTTTCACCAGATGGCCGCCTCTGATGGCCAGATGTGATGAACGCAGATATGAAACTGGAATATTCTCGAACAAGATACGCCGCGACGCCTTGGTCTATGCAACTATTCGTGCATCATGCCGTAGTCAGTGTTGTATGGACACAAAATGAAGGCACTACCTTTTTCTTTATCAAAGCGGCACGGCTCCATCACAGCATTCACAGCCTCAATTTCGAGATCTTATTCTGAGCTTGAGAGCTCACTTCAGAGAAAAGCGGTGAACAATCTTGTTCCGAGGAAAATTTTTTGGAGCATCAAATTCTAAAATCTCAAATACCGTGGCGTGCAAAAGGATCCGCTCCATTATTCTCTTGACTTGAACATTGTTCTACAGCATGACATTAAGGGCGCTCTCTACTCGTGGTTTTTCTCCAATGAAAAAGAGTACGTTTCACCGCACAGTGGATTGAGTCAATTAGAGAGGTCGGACCTCAAATTTTTGACTAGAACTGCAAATGTTGATGCTTATTTTGTCACATTTTAAATTTTAAGGGGTGTTTCTATAGGAAAATTTCGCGAGGAAACCAATGAAACCACTTTTAAACCCCCATAGTTTTTTTTTTTTTTTACAAACGGAGTGCTAAACGTTTAAAGTTTCCAAATTTTGTCCGACCTCTCCTATTGACACGATCCACTGTGCGCCGTGTCAGAAACTACGTTCCTTCAGAGAGGATATTGTGGGTCCGAGCGAATTTTGAAGAGGGCTTGCAATAATGTTTCCATAGGTTTAAAAAGTTACAACTCATCATTATAATGACATGAAATCTGCCTCCTGTTTTCACCGATTGATGTCTGAGTATTTTTCATCGAGGTTTAAGAAAAAGGAAAGCAGGGCTAACATGTTAAAAAAAAAAAAAAAAAAAAAAAAAAAAAAAAAAAAAAAAAACTCGGAAGGTTTTGACTGTTTACTGAGCCATCATCGATGGATTAAAGTAGGTGAAAAAGATACATGAAAAAATAAGCGAGACAACTTTTTATCTGCTTCGGTGCTGGACTAGAGAAAAATGTTTAACTAAGCCTAAAAAATCTTGAATGGAAAGGGGCTTTAGGCTACTCAGGAGGCAACCCAAAGATGTAGCTTTACGTGTGTAGTTCAATAATTTCATTCAAGTACCATTATAATAATTATCTCATTACTACACTGATATTGCGATGTTGAAAGTTTTGTTTAATAAATTATATTATTTTCTTTCCTAGGGACAATTACTTTCGTTTTGCTCAATATCAACTCTCGGACGGAGATATACAATAAGGAAAAGAGGATGAAAATGAAAAATTTGATCAAGATGAATAAAAAACAATTAAATTTCTTTATTAAAATAAATACATTTTGAATCTGAGGCACATTTTTGAGCTATTATTCATGGGAAGTCAGTTTTATAATCTTCAAAATCGTAACATTTTTCACAAAAAACTTCTTGGAAGCGAAAAACATCAATAAATAGATAAATAAATAAATAAGCATTTAAATAAATTCATTTTCTACGCCGGAAGTTTGTGTTGGAGACGATGGTGGTCCTTCAGAATGATTTGATCTATCATTCATTTTGCCTCCTTTCCCATCTCATTTTGGGAATTCTTTGAATACTGATGTGAGCCAAAAATGAGTGTTGATACGTCTCAGAGATATTATAATAAGGATAACAGGTGTAGATGGAGTGGAAAATAGAAAGTATGTAATATAATATAAATTTTGATATTAGAATCAGATCACATTTAAAAACTCATGGGTAGAAAGTCTGGCGTTTCAAACCGTAATTTATGGTAACAATATTATTCGATCGATCAAAAAGTAAGAAAAAAAAAAAATTCATACTTTTTTAAGTTTCTGATTAATAACATTGAGAAAAATTTCGGTGATGAGTTTTGTACAAGATAAAAAGTGATCTCCGTGTTTATAGACATCAAATCACAGACAAAATATTTTTTATTCACTCTTAAAGTTTTTTTTTTTATTTTTTTATATTTTTCAAAAGGAGGAATAATATCCGAAAATCACAAGGCAGAGTTTCAATTTTACTGGAACAATTGTTTTCCAGGTTATAGTGGAAGACACAATTCGATTAATTTTAAAGGAGTCTACATATATTTATAAAATGGTAAAGAAATACATATCACCAGCCAAATTCCTTGAAAAAGTATTGCTTTTAAACTTAGACCTAAAAATAATATCTTCCCGATTTCAAAAGTTGGAAGACCTCACGTTGATGTCAAGAAATATCTTAGCTAGATCCTCATGTAGCTATGTCTTCTCGAGTAAAACAATTATAAAGAGAGGCAAGCATAAATGTTTTTATCTCTTTTGAATTAAAAAAAGAATAATAAGTTACAAAAATAAAAAAAAATAAAAAACGCAAAACTTGATAACTTAAAGGAAAATGAGTTTAAGTCGTTAGGTAAGCATGCAAAAAGAACGCAAACATACTTATACATTTAAGAAATCGAGAAACAAGTGATGGAATGGACGAGGAATAAAACTGCGGCAAGCAGTCACCTACTTACGTAATTGACTAACTAAAATAAAAGAATATAAACATACAAAACTTATACATTCTTAATAAACGTACGAACATCATATTTCGAATTCATAACTTAAATAAAAGAAAGAAGAGAAAGAAAGAAAAAAAAGTACCTACAGTAAGTAAAGAAAAACTTGAATTAAAAATCACAGGAACGTTCGCTTTGTGATGATATTTAAGAATTAGATTCTTCGTCTTTCCTCCAAATGAGAAGTGATTTTCGTTGACTTCTTAAGATGCATCTGGAATGATTGGATTGGTGCAGGTAAAGTGATTACTTCTTTTTTGATTTTGCGTCCTTCTCTGCTTTCCTCTTTCTGTATCCATAAGCATTGATAGCTGTAAAACAACACAAAATACAATAATTTCAGCAAATATCGAGGGCAAAACTGTAAAAATGCGCAACTCGGTTGCAGTGTTTCAAAATTTCCGCTCACATTTTAATTTGAAAAATAGACCCAGTCAACATTATGGCTTGAAATTTTCACAGAATATTCATCACGCAGAGAATACAATTTACCGAAGTTTTCAAGAGATGATTTTCAGTGATTTCCCACGTAGGAAATGAAATCAGATAGGAAGTCTGCAACTCCGGAAACCTAGATACGCATTTCTGTAGTATCACCATCGATATGAATCGATATGAATCGATTAAATAGCTTATAAAAAGAACACGAGCGCATTTCGATGGCGAACTTGCAGAAATGCGCCTCTTGGAAAACACGATTTTTCAAGAGAGTAACAAAAAACTGTCAACATTATTAATTTCTTAGACATAGCGCAAGGTTCAACTCCGCGCACGGAGAAAGAAACTTGGTGCGTGGGACCCTAAGTTGAGGTCATAAGAAGTTTTCAGATCACGTGCATGTCTAAAAACTTGAAGTCCAGCAGCCGAAGTTCGGGTCAGACATCTGGAGTACTTCGATGTGTACCGAAGGGTCCGGGTCACACGTCTGAAGTTCTCCAGTACAAACCGAAGTGCCTCGATGTCTGACCCGAGCTTCGGCAGCTCAACCTCAAGTTCTCTGATGCGTGATCAGAAAACTTCAAGGATCCATATGACCTCAACTTCGGGTCCCATGCACGAAGTTTTTACCTCCGTGCGGACAATTTTGGTTCCGTTTATTATCGTTTTATTATCGTATATATCGTTTTATTATCGTTAGAGTATCATTCCAGTTATGATCAAGGCGCGCTCGCGCTCGTCGGAGAAGAAAAAGAGTGAAGAGATCGCGAGCGGATCTTCCTGGGATTCTAAGTCAAAAAATCATAATTCCCATCGGAACCTTTAGATCGAGATTCATTTGTTCATTTTCAAATGAAAACTTGGTGGATACGTTTCTTGCGGAAAGATATGGTTTGAGGAAGACTTTGAACAAAATTGGACGGGCCATTTAATTTTGATCAAAGAAGAAAACCTATGGCATAAATACCAACGATCATCAAATGGACGTATTTCTGTCAAACGGAACTAAGTGCATTAAGACATAAACCCTGAGACCCATAAGAATATATGCATAACAAGACTCACGTCATAATGCACATAGTTCCGTTTGACAGAAATACGTCTAAATGGTCTACTTTCATGGGAATTCGATCATAAATTGAGGCTTCATTAGGTAAAGATTGCTCAACCATTCGCTAAACTCTGGTCATCAGTCATCTCAGGCAAACCTGGACGTTGTCTTCCAAATGTAACTTAAAAATACGAGGCATTGGCGGATACAGCAAACTGGCAACATCGTTTTTTCTCAATTTAAATCCATGGACATGTATCGATTCTTGGAGGGGCCTGGTGCTCCAACCAGAATCGATTATTCGACATAGGTTTAAATGGAGGAAATCTGATGTTGCCAAATTGCTGGATTCGCTTCTAAATTACGAGGAGGATAGCAATGACAGGTTTCTAAAATAAACTATCTCTGGAAATAAAGGTGATAAAACAAGTAAGTAAGAAGAGGTTAATCTTACCGTCGTATTCTTTATCACACAATAGGAGGAGTTCATACCACTGAGAACCAGAGATAGTGGGAACATGAAGGTTTCCGCCATAGGTGTCTGGTAACATTTTCGGGTTGAAGTATTTGTGCAGAGATTCACGGTCGGTACCATGGAAAATTACCTGAAGTAAAACAAACCAGTTAAAAATATATAAATAAATAAATCACCAGAAACGTCTCATTAAAAGAACCATGCACTATACTGATTGTGAACATAAAGTTGATCGGGAAAACAAGAATAAAGTCAAAAATTTTTGGAGTGGAAAGGGAGAGAGAAAAACTAAATAAGGACGGGTCGAAATGCACTTCTAGAGTCTGTTTCATAGTTGAACGTATTTATGATAAAAGGAACTATGTGCATAGCGTTTGCGTGGAACATAATTCCTTTTAGCATAAATACGTCCTGTTGATTTTCAAGCTTCCCCCATCGTCAGAGAGTCCCCACATAATTTACCTCATACCTAGGTACCTAGGGAGCTTAGGGAGGCCCACACCACAGTATCATAAAAAGGACAATTTTAAAAGCTATACGTAAAATTCAACAGTACGATAACCTAGAAAATAGATCCTTTCACGGCATTACAATGATTTGCCACTGAAAAATGCACGAAACACAAAAGGAAAAATAAGCGTGACAGGTTTTGAAAATCCTAGGGCTGGTCCATTCACAGTAATTTGATATGAATTTTTGTGGCGGCAAATTACTACGATGATCCCATGCAAGGATATCATTCCAAATTCGTAGTTACCTACACAAAGGAACTCAACTGCATTTGAATGTTGAGACATTTTCCATCGTGAATTCCATTATTATCAGGAGAATTTTGACAATTCTAAGGCCTTGTCTCCACGAGCCGTTTCACGGGATTCGTCCCGAGGAAAATTTCACTTACGAAGTCGGGAAAAATTGAGTTAAACAATATTTTTCCCAGTACCGAGTATGATCCTTGCAACCCTAAGACCAACTCTGCCGTGCTAAGGAGGAACGCCGTATGAACACTCGAGTCGAGTAGCCAAATTTCCCTTAATAAAACATGTATTTCTGATAACATTCATGCATATTTTTCCTCGAAATTTTTAGATATTTTAGATTAAATTGCGTACAAAATTGTCTGAAAATTTTAGAAAATAATATTCGCAATTCGGGGTTTTTCGGAGGAAACTTGGCAAAGTCAGAAGGCTGGCTCATACGGCGTTCTTCCTTAGTACGGCAGAACTGAGAGAGGAAAAAGAGGAGAGAGCAAACTATCGCTATTTTGCTGGTTACTCCACTGTTCGTGTTTGTTTGGTTAAAATAATGTATCTAATTGTCAATCGTGTTCAATCATTATTTTAATCCCGGTTAAATGATCAATGTTTACTAACTTATCTTCCCGCGCAAACTTGTCGCAGGACCGTATGAGCCTCGTCTCGTGGAGACGGTATCTGGGAAAAATCCCACAAGTTTCATTCCTGAAATTCGAACTTGGGACGAATCTCATGGAAAAGCCTCGTGGAGACAAGACCTAACTGAAAATTTCTTCTTCTTGATTTTACTTCTGAGCTCATGCGAAAATCAGAAAAATTTCAGACAGAAATTTTACAGACATGTGCGCGTAAAAATTAAATTGTTTGCGTCAATTTTGCGACCTTGGAAATTACGTTCCTTTGCACTGGAAACGATGAATTACGCTAAACTTTACTCAAAGTTCGTAAAAATAGTCCTTGGTTTAATGCTACGCTGGAACGTAAATCAAAGGAGGACCACCTTGAGCTGGTCACACGATTTAGGAACGACGGCCCCAAAATCAGGTCACCACAGAGAGAGGGAGGTTGGCAAATTTCCAGGGGGCAAGGCGCCATAAGGGGGAGGGGGCGTTACCCCACCCTATTATAGCTTCTTCGTTTCTACGACAGTGTGGTACAATAGGATGATGGAGGAATAAGGGTTGTCCGTCGCGCGTAAGTTTCAGAAGTTGCGTCAAGTTTTGAAAATCACGTGCAAGTGAGAAATTATTTACTAACATTCTTTCAATTTTAGAATTTTTTCTTTGTGCGGTTCTTTGGACTTATTGAATTGCTAAGGGGTGGTTTAAAGATAGAACTTACCCTGCTCCTAAGCTTTTCGCGAAGGAAAGGTTTGAAAAGTGCGAAGACCATATTGAAGATGTACGGCTGATTAACAATGTGGATACCCTTAATCCTAAGTGGTACACTATCCTGTAACACAAAAAATGAATGGTTTCAAGTTAGTAAAGATGAATGGAGGAACATCGATAAAGGCGCGAATTTTCGTTGAGCTGTACAAAGCACAAGCACATATCGACGGTGCAAGTCGGCAATCACATAACTCGTTTGCGGTGTCTAAAAATCTCCGCCTCTATGTTATTTTTTTAAAGGAGAACAAATTGACATCATTCCTTGAAGTTTTTGCAGAATTTTCTTCGCACAGAGAAGAAAAATCATGGCAGTTTTAAAGAATTGCCGTTGAGTAGTTTTCCGTTTAAAAAATAAAGTATGATAGGAAGTCTGCGACGTCGCAAACCGTGTTATGTGATTGCCGACTTACACCGTCGATATTTCTATCGAGTACACTACGATAGCACTCATGTATCCAAAAAAATTTCATGACCAAGTGCTATCTATCGTATAGTAATAATAAAGTAAAATTTGAAAAAAAAAAAAAACCTCAACTGTACAACGAACTGACAGTCTTGCTGATTTTCAACTTAACATGAGGTTCTACAAAAAATTTGGCGGGTTCTTGATCGAAAAATATAGATCATGGGCGATGATGATTTTTTCTGTGAATTGATCTGGAAATTTTTCAGGTTTGCAAGTTTTTCCCGCAAATTATTTATATTTCAGTGTAACAACGGGAAACTTTCAATTTGTTTATTTCTTCAAAACTCCAAGGTGATTCTGCTGATTTCAGCTTCAGTCTGTCGCTTAAATTTTTCAATATCTTGTTCTTGCTGTCTGCCCTGCCCGTTGCCGTAAAGTAGTCTATACCGCTTATTTTTGGTCGATTCGACAAAGAAGCAATACCAGTCGCGAAATCAAGCTGCTGATTGATACTATATAGGCATCTCATACAAGTAATATTTTTCCTGCATTTTAATATCCCCACTTTTCAACAAACAGGCTCCACTTTTGCAACGTGTACACTCGTCTCAGCGATCCGAGATCACGCCGATTGAGCAAAACAAGTTTGAGATTTACCAGATTTATTCTTCGACCACAATTCCCCCCAAGGAAAAATCCCCTTATTTCTACAATAGACACGAATAAAGTACACTTCAGGTTCGATGGCCTCCTCATCAAAAACCTTTGTAGAATAAGTCTTCGCCCATCTGACGTTTGGGCGTGTCTCAATTTCCACGTGAGCCATGTTTTACATATAAATTCATGCTTTCTGGGGCTCGCCGCGGAAATCGAGATACTCTCTTACGCCAGAGGAGTGACAAAATTAGGTATACGCCCCATCCTGCGTGAACGTAGCCGCGAGGAGGGTGATGGGATTCTGCCCCCTTTGATAATACAATTTCCCCGCGAAAAGGTTTTTATTTGACATTATGAGCAACGCTGACCTTCAGAATGATACCTCAGAAATTTGTTGCCCCTTTTGGAAGTTTTCGTGCGCTTGAACCACCAATCAATTTTGAAAGGAATAAACGTGATGAATATCCGCAAGTACCTACATAATTTCTTTTCGTGGCATTATTTCGCACACCTATATTTGAGAAGTTGAATTATTATTTGATCCTTGCAAGAGTTGAGAACTTCATATTTATCGAAAAACTCTTGCTATGATTGTAACAGCAAGCAAGCAACGAATCTCATACTTCAAAAGGAACATTTCATTTGCCCATTCTAGAGATATTCTTTCCAAAAACTTTACACGAAAGCAAAAACTAATCGGCCGTACATTGCTATCCAAAGCACGTTTTTAATTGTGGTTTCTAATACAGCTTCATATTTTATTTTTTAAAGAAACACAACATTTTTAGAGAAAATGTCGATAGGCTGTATCCTAAAAAAATAAAATATCCAGGAAAATCTACGACGTTACTCTATCGGGCACGTCTTAATAAACGTCCACATTTGCGTAATTCGTTTCCCGCTAAAAATTGAACTCAAAACCAGTGCTCCAGCAAGAAGGTGCTGAGCACAATATTTCAACGTTCGTCTACATTCTAGTGGGGATCTCCTCTGGCGCAGTGGCGATCCCAGCAAGTTGGCAACACTTTTAATACTCCATTTAAAGCTACAGAATCGATTTTAGGTGAGACAAGCTACTTCACATAAAATAAATTGTGTTAAATACGTTTAAATGGAGGAAAAGCAGCATTGTCAAGTTTCAAGAATCGCCATACGGCCATAACGTAACTAATATGGTACTGTGGAGACGGCGTTGCATACCCTGTACAACGAAGGAACTTTGCTGAGTTTCAGGAGAACATGTCTTATGCAATTGATTTTACCTGGAGCCAGTCGACTATTCTCTTGGCAAAGGGAGGAGTGAATTGCCACGTTTGTTGGAGGGTGAGTCCATCCATATCAAAAATGACTTGAGCGCCAGCAACTTGGGATGCTGGTTCCATCATGGCGGCCTCCAGGAATAACACTGCTCCTTTGAAAACTTCGTCCAGACTACACTTTTTTGGCTTCCATTTTTCTGCGAAAAAATGGCGAGTGTTAATGAAATCAAATGATAGAATAACATTGAGAAGTTAAAACCCATTAAAGGCTTTATTATGAGTCTTCTTTTTCTACTTACTTTCTAGACAGAAAAATACACATGATCACGTATTACAGTTTCGATGAATTTTTCTGCATCTGTGATGACCAGCAGTATATCGCGATCAGAATAGATTCCAAGAAAAAAACACTGCGAAACGTGGCCAAAACTGCATATCATAAGATAATAAAATAGTGCTGGGTCCACACTTTTTTGCGAGGAACACAAAGTTCAGAAGTCCAACAATTTTAATTAGAGTCCAAAAATTTGAGCTCTAATGGCTACTAATTTAGTGTTTGTCCTACCACTGATGATAGGGATACTCTGCAACGACTCTATACATTTTTTAAAACATTTTTGATACAATTGATCGGTGATCACATTAAAATTTTTTGAAAATATTAGATTGAGCTAAGGACTCTCATGCAGGAATCTATTCCAGATGTGCGTGTTTTTGATGGATCGCGCCTTACTCTAGCTAATGTAAACTTCTGACTCAACGGATGGACTTGGCTCAGGAAGGCTTGATTCATATTAAAAATAAAGTAATACTTACTTCCTAATTCTAAAATCAGAACTCGTCTTCCGTCTTGATCTCTCTCAGGTAACACTGTGAGTATATTTTGTTCGAAGACATTCCTTTCTGTACTAGGTTTCAGTCCATCGTAGACATCATTGTGTTTGATTTTAAAAGCATAATAGTTTTGAATCTGTTGGACAAAGAAAAATGAAATCAGTTGCGGTGAAATAAAAATTTATTTTTTTACAGGCCTCTCGTTTATTTTTGATCACGGAGAATCAGTAGTTTAGTAGGTAGCTTACATTCAAGTCGAAAAGGGTTTGAGCCCTGTATAGCAATACCAGAGTCTGTTAGTTGTGCTGGTCGCAGAATCGTGTTTTGGTGCTTGATTTTTGTAGATCAGCTACATATATTAAGATCTGTCCAAACAGTGACTTTCGAAGTTCAATATTAACCGAGTTATCACGCTTTAAAAAATTCGATTTATGACGTCATCCACCATGGTAGTGACACCCTTGGTTTCTTTCGCCTTGCTTACTCGAGTTTCACGACTTTCACGTTGAGTAACCATTGAAAATGGGTGTCTCCCTAACTAATGAAAGCCAGTCGGAAGAAACCAAGGGTAGCACTACCGCGGTGGATGACGTCATTAAACAAATTTTTCAAAGTGCAATATCTCGATTAAAATTGGACGTAGAGATTTGCTGTTTGAACAGATCTTATTATTTTTAGCCGATCGACAAGAATCAAACATCAAAACACGATTCAACGACCAGCGCAACTGACCCGTTTAGACTAGACAATATCTAAATTTATGAGCAACATACCTAAAAAAATTCTACGACGGAAAAATCATAAATCCACTTTCTCAGCCAGATACCCTCTTTCATGTATACCTGGTGCCAGCATACACTACATAATCCGATATTCTAATATGGAAAGCTGACAGTGGATAAATTTGCTCGCGAAAAAAGGGAATGGTCTTATTCGTGGAAGAAAAAACAGCGCGCATGGAATTATTATAACGAGTAAGAAAAAATAAACATTTGCCATTTTGTGCTGCTTTTCTCAAATTTTCTTATACAGTCAGTTTCCTTGAGGAGAAATAAAGAAGTAATTTTCAGATATTTTGAGGGGCTACACGTATGCAAATTTTGTCATCGCGGTGAGAATCAGGAAGGTCAGTAGGTGTCTACTGTCCGGCACATACGACGTATACACCTGAATTAATGACTTTTCTGATTCTTATGCGGTTTAGCGCCGGGTTTTAAGTAAAAATTAAACTTTGAAGCATGTCACATGTAAGTTTCGAAAGAAGACTCGTGAATAACGGCAATTTCACCCTCGTTAACGTATTGAAAAATTGCAGACCTTTTTAATAACGATTTAAAATGCCGGAGGGCTCAGAAGGGCTATTTATTAAAGGCTATTTCGCACAGAAGAGCGAACCTTTGGGAGACGTCGGGTGTTAAATGTTATGTCTAAAACTGCAAATTTTGTTGTTTATTTATCAGGGTTGGCTTATTCAATCAATGATTAAAATAATGTGACCATATCAGCGAGCTCATAAAACCATAAAAATCAGATTTAACAGACAACTCCCTTCAGTGTCTTAAAGAAAAGTTGCGAGTAGTTGAAGTTTTTTGAAAAGGCAGTAAAGAGGCACTTCATTGGTGCGGTCAGATTGTGCTCCAAGCATGGCAGATTGATTTTATATTTTGAGCAATTTTTATACTGAAATATTCATAGGACACTGCTGAGGCCCTGGTATCAATTATTCAATTTCTAGTTTTTGTAGACTGGGGTTGCTTTTTCTGTGAATAAAAATACTTGGGTCTGTTTATATCGTTTAAATGAGAGTTTGTTCAATGAGACAGGACAGGACTATTGCGATTATTCCAAAAGAATATGAACAATAGTTTTTCATAAGATATTCAGGCAAACGGCACGGCAGAAAATTACACATATCGTATCATCGCAATGAATTTAAGTGGACGTTATACGATGCTCGTGTTTAACTAAAGTGTGTTCAGTCGAAATGACCTTGTACTCTTTAGCTCACGAGCGCGACAAGAGTAAAAAAAAGGAAGAAAGGAAGGAAAAAAGCACAAACGAGCCAACCGATTCCGGTCATGGTCTTTATCGCCAGACAAATTTGCGAGGAACGAAAATGTTACTAGGTGCATTCTGATTCGCGTTATCAGAGAAATTACGAAGAAACAATTTTTCTTGCGATATTATTTTGACTTTAAGCCTTGTCCTTGCCGACTTTTGGTCCCCCACCCCCCCCCCCCGGTTAAATCAGTACGGATTGAACCTTAAAGTCAGTCCTTTTTGAGTTTAAGAAACGTTGAATTGTTATCGTCAGGTCTAAGTTAAAATAACAATAATAAAACCGTGTTCCTTCAACTCAAAAAACTGATTTTACGTTAAATTCGCACGGATTTAACTTTAAAAAAACCAAATTTTGTCGACAAGAAAAGACGCTTAAAGTCAAAATAATATCTCAAGAAACATGTTTCAGTGTACGTCAAATAAGAGCATAGTTATATATACAATGCAATGAAATACTATACACTTATTGATTAAAATTTGCCTGGAACGCGGAAAATGGCTATGCGTAATCCAACTAATTGAATTTATTCCTGTGATATCTTCCATTTGTGACCTTTTAAAAACAAAAGTTTCTTCATTTCTCAGTACTGTATGGTTTGAAGAACCTCGGTGTTTGAGAATTACCATATTATTTAATTAGTTTTTAAGTATGTACTTTGAAGTTCATCTTTGATTAAAATAAAAATAAAGAATGGGTGGCTGCAGGTAAAAGAAACTTTAAAAAAAAGAAATAAACTAATAAAATTTCTTATAGCAAGAATGTTTCTCGATATTTGTCAGGCTGTCACCGTTGTCTTTCGGCAACTTTGGAGAGAGTCAGGTCAGTCTTACAACATTCAAATAACGAAGGGGAGAAGGTGGGAGCAGGTTGTTTTACAGGTATGAAAAAGGGCTCAAAAAAAGGGCAAAAATGCCTTGCGTGATACTTGAACGGCCCCTTGCTTTTGTTTTCAGTTTTTGTCAAAATCCATGATGAGTCATGTCACATGATGAGAGGAAAAACTCAGATGAATTTCTTGTCCCTCTTGAAAAGCTTGCCTCGTCTCCGATGAGCAAAAATCAGATAATCATCAGGTTGCAGTCGTAACTTTCGAAACTCTATTACGGGATGCATTACGGGTCCTCCTCGTAACTTTTGACGAAAGAGCGTAACCTCATTTTAACGCAAGCTGTGCAAATGACTCAAATCTATGGACGACAGGGCTCTTCTCAAAGTGTAATTACGCTGTTTAGCCGGCTCCATTTCCACAGCCCCCCCACATTCGAATCTTAAACCAAAAATTATATCATAATTTTGTGCTAATTTTGTGCTATTTTGTGCCGCAAATTAAAAATTTTGTGCTGCAAAATTAAGGAGGGAAACGCTCCTCAAAATTGGGGGGGCTGTAGAAACGGTAGCCCCCCCACTTTCGAATTTTCGAAAAAAAAGAATGCCATAATTTTGTGCTAATTTTGTGCTATTTTGTGCCGCAAGAAAAAAATTTTGTGCCGCAAAATTAAGGGGGGTAGCAGCATTCCAAATTGGGGGGGCTGTAGAAATGTTTGCCCCCTGTTTCGATTTCTCGGAAAAGGAGTATGCCATAATTTTGTACTAATTTTGTGCTATTTTGTGCCGTAGCAAGACTTTCAATTTTTTCAAATTTAAGGGGGAAAAATTGGTATTTCAAAATTGGGGGGGCTGTGGAAATGTTTGCCCCCCTCTTCGATTTCTTGAAAGTGGAGTATGCCATGCTTCTGCTTTAATTTTGTGCTATTTTGTGCCGTAGAGATATTATTCATTTTTGTAAATTTAGGGGGGTAAACGGGCACATCAAATTTTGGGGGGGCTGTGGAAATGTTTGCTCCCCTTTTTGATTTCTTGAAAAAAAAGTATGCCGTAATACTCTCATAATTTTGTGCTATTTTGTGCCGCAAAAAGAAAATTTTGTGCTCCAAAATTAGGGGTCCTAAATACCACCCCAAATTTAAGGGGGAGGTCGCAGGTGCGGCAGCCCCCCACTTTCGAATTTCGAGAAAAAAAGCACGTCATAATTTTGTGCTAATTTTGTGCTATTTTGTGCCGCAAAAAGAAAATTTTGTGCTCCAAAATTAAGGGGGTTAAATACCATTTCAAATTGGGGGGGCTGTAGAAACGATAGCCCCCCACTTTCGAATTTCGAGAAAAAAAGTACGTCATAATTTTGTGCTAATTTTGTGCTATTTTGTGCCGCAAAAAGAAAATTTTGTGCTCCAAATTTAGGGGGATTAAATACCACTTGAAATGGGAGGGGCGGGGACTGTAAGACAAGTTAGCGCTCCGGCGGAACCCGAATCTTCCGCTCCGGAGTCGCAGGCTCGCAGGTAGCCGGAACCTTTGGCAGCGCAGCGTGGTCACATCTCTCTCCGCTTTGACTTCTGCTCATGGAAACGGACGGAAAGGGCCAAGCACCGTGGCAACTCAAGAAAGATCCGGGCGGGAGATCCGGCGCGGCGCTCTTTGCACGGGATATTTAACCAGAGAGATTTATCCTATAATCATTAAGGATCCTTTTTGGAGGGTTATATACAGTTGGGTGTCAGCGAGTTCCAAATCGAATGTTGCTCTACTGTTTTTATTTTGCACGCTACCGATTATTATTTACTGAATCGAACAGTTTTGAGAAATAAATGATTGGCTTTCATTTCAGAAGCAACAACAATTTTGACACGTATCCAGCGAAACATATCATGAAAGGACCATTTTTAAGGAATGTTTCAGAAAATGTGTTATCGTTGATTTCAAGACCTCCGAAATCTAGTTTACATTACCGCCCTGAAGAATGCGCCCTGTGCTCTTTTCCAACTTTTAATAACAAAATTCAATTTTTCCACCATTTTTCGTTAGGTGCCGATGTTTGGTTTCAAATAAAGTACCAACACAATGTACATGTATATTTTTTAATAACGCTTTAATTATTCTAAAAAGCGCTGAAGTGTCCGAAATTTTCTTTTGTGGGAACGCTTAGCTCTAGCTTTCTACTGGGCTGATTTTCATGATTTTTGCGGATATCAACAGGTAATTTTGTTTAAATGAGCCCGCTTACACAGCCTGATTTA